GACGGGCGGGTAGGGCCATGGCCTCGACAGAGTTGCAGGGGAAGTACCAGAAGCTGGCCCAGGAGTACTCCAAGGTAGACTTCGTGGGCGGGCGCGAGGGTCCCTGGTGCGGGGCCTCAGTGGCCTGGGCGGCGACCTGGCGGGACTGAGGGCCCGGCGGGGGCCGCGAGCTCGGCCCTCCTCTGCGCTCCGCCCCGGGTCCACCATTACCGCGCCCCACCTGCCTCTGCTCCGAGACGCCGGGCGGCGTCTGCAGACATCAGCTGGAGTTTGGTGCTGCCTCCTCGCCAGCTTGGCGGGCTTGGGACCGGGACGCAGGCTTCCGGCGCCGGTGTGGCAGGCGGGGGAGTAGCGGTGTAGGACCGCTTGCTGTCGCCGCTTCCTCAGTTTCCCCGGCCCTTTGAGGGGTGGGGCCGGCCGTTCTCCTTCCCCGGGGGATGCTATGAGTTAGCGAGGGTAGATGGTGTCGCTCGTGCAGACCGCCTCCCCGGGAATGGGTGGTGACAGTGCTTTGGCAGGTTGTGCGGCACGACTTGGGCAGCTGGCGTGCTAGGGCCGACCCTGTCCACCCCTCCTGTCCCTGGGATGGGGCAGAGCACCCAGCAGGTGCTCCGTAGTGTAGAATTCGGCAGCATAGGGACCTGCCTTTTTGTCTAGTGCAGTCAACGTGTTTTAAATGATGGAACTTGGACGGGGGTGGTGCAGTTTCTGGCTAGGGTGTTTCTGCCTTAGGGATATTCTAATGAAGTTACCTAAGAGGAATCTGACATCTTTGGAAATTCATTCAATAATCTCGGCATTCAGGGAGCCAGTCGCTCTGCGTTCAGTGATCCTGACATCTATGGAGCCCACCGGAAAACTTAACCCGCTTTACACAATTCGGAGAAACTGAGGCGCATTTTTTCTCTCCTTATGATTTAATTCAACAAATAATGAGCAAAGTGATAAAATGAATTTTCTTTGAAAGATAAATGTGCATCTAAATATACACACTTAAGTCTTCACCATGGAATAGCAACCTTTGGAAATACTACACTTAGGATAACAGAGCAGTATTAGAAACTCTTGCATATTCGCTTGAAATTGTCTTAGAAGGTATGACAGTGTCAGTGAGGGCAGGTTTCATCCTTTGAAGGAGGAGTTCCTTCTTTGAAAGGGCCAGAAGTTTTAAACAGATCCATATGATGAACTGGGGTGAGTGAAAGATAACGGTGCCCAAATTTGCTTCTATTTTTGGTTGAAAATACTTAATGCAGCTGGGTGTGATGGCGCACACCTATGATCCTAGCACTCTCTGAGGCTGAGGCAGGAGGATTGCTGCGAGTTCGAGGCCAGGTTGGGCTGCGTAAGCAAGGTCAAAGCCAGCTTGCAGTGCATAGTGTGAGACCCTGTCTCCAAAAAGAAACAAAAAAATGTCGTGCCCATAAGCTAAGGGAGTTCAGCCCTCCTCCAGCCTCTGCCCTCCGCCCTTGGGTCCACCCAGTTTCTTCTCTGGAGAGCAAATTAGCTCAAAAGGCAATTCTGAATAGCAAAAGAGCAGATGCTAGGGTTGCAGAGAATGTTCTGAGCTATGGCAGCATTGCTGAAATAATTGTGTAACCTCCCAAAGTAATTTTTTTAAAAAAGGACTTTGATTTTACGTTTTTGGACGTGTGGGCTTGTTCAGCAGATACTTGTACAGCTTCCTGTGCGTCTTCTGCCTGGGTCCCCTGAGCGAAGCAGCTTCAGGAGTCGCCTTTAATTTGCTGTTCTCACATGGTACATAGTTATGATACAGTGTGACAAGTGCTGGTTCAGTGGCAGTGGCGGAGCCAGAGCCCCTCCTAGAGCAAAGGGAAGGAGAAGGCAGTAATTTTCTAGGCAAAGGGAACACTTCTGTTTGCTGACATAAAAGCTCCTTAGGATGGGAGAGAGTGAGAGATGAGGTTGGATGAGGCCATGAAGGGCTGCACGAGTCGAATAACAAGTGTGAGTGCTGGCTTTTGAGTGATGGAGAAATAAAGGGTTTGTTCAGTGGGGGGAGTGGCCTGACTTTTGGGAACAATTCTGGTGAGTGAACCAAGGATGGATTGAAATTGGGAGAGATTGGTGAAAAGAAGGTCAGACAGTAGGCTGTTGGGATAATTTAGGAGAGAATGATTAAGGCTGTGACTTAGGACCAGGAGGAGAGGCTAGATTCTGGAATTATGGTTAAAAATAGCTTGTGTATCTTTTGAGTGTCTGCCTTGTGCCTGGCCCTGTACTTAAGAAAGATGAAGAGTGTATAAAGTACTCATCCCTGGGTCTCAATTCATTATAGAGGAGGACTCAGAATTCACCCGGGAGCTCTGAGAGGAAGGGTCCTGACTGCCAGCGATGGAATGATGGCTTGCAGGAGAGATAGCTGGTTGAAGCAAAGGAGTGTTTTTATTTTTATTTATTTATTTTTTGCGGTACTGGGGATTGAACGCAGGGCTTTACAGCAGAAAAGTAGAAGTGATCCCATGCTGCTTTAAGCTGATGTTTTGGGTTATTACTGAAAATTCCCATTGCATATGGATGGCTAAAAGTGAGGACAAAGGCTAGTTCTTCCCCTAAGGATGAACCGTGAACATCAACCAGGGCATCCATGGGAGGGAAGCCCTGGGAAGGGTGTGCTAAGAGCAGATGCTAGGGAGACTGTGAGAAACCTGTCTACCTCCACTGCTGGCCCTGTAGTTCTCACTGTTTTAATTTGAATATGAAGGGAGTTTTAGAACAGAAGATAGGGGCCAGGGAGATGGCTCAGTGAAAGAAGTGCTTGCCTGGCAAGTGCAGGGACCTGAGTTCAATCCCTGGTTCTGCAAAAAAAAAAAAAAAAAAAACCAGAAGAGAGAGACTGGTTAGGAGATTTCATCCATTCGTTTATCTTTCAATGCTGGGGATCGAACCCAGGGCCTCGTGCTTGCTAGACTCAGTCTCTAATCCTTATCCTCCACCACCCTCCCTGTGCTTTTTATCTTGTCAGCCTACTGGGGCGTTTTCTCCTTGCTGTCTCTGTGCTCTCTGAGCCTGTGCCTACGGGAGGGCTGGGCTCTGCTCATTCCTGTCTGGTGCAGAGCTTGTGGGCTGATAGGGAAGTGTGGTCATATTTAGGGTATTAATGGAAAAAAATCCTACTAATCTAAAAAGGAAGCCTTCCTGTCAGGAGAGAAGCAAACATGCTTCCTAGAACAGGAACGTACAGAATCTTCTTTAGGCAAAGCTCAGTTTATACTCCAGGAAAGGGTTCTTCCCTGCTTCAGAACTGTGGTCATAATCTTTCCTCCTGAGGAGCTAAAACAACAGCAGCAGCAACAGCGACGACAAACCCCAAATAAGAAAGCCACCAGGCCCAAGAAGCTCTGGCAAAGACACTGAGAGAGAGTAGCTGGATAGGAGGTGAAGCGTGGTGGCCAGAGCAGACCAGGGCAAGAGGCAGTTGGATAGCTAAGCCAGCGTGAGTGGGCAGTGGACGTGCAGATGGAGCCTCTGCAGACCTGAGTGAGAGTCAGGCCGAGTCGTGCGGAGGCAGGCCGAGGGTGCGCAGAGGCTGGCTTCCAGAGGGTTTTGAAGTTAGTAAGTGAAGATGTCAGCTGCCTCCTGAGACACAAGAGGTGAATCAGGGCCTCAGGTAATGGTTTCTAGGTTACTGGTTTCTTGTTTGCCGTTGCTTCTACCACCTGTTCTGCATCTGCTGCTCTACCATATCACGTTGTGAAGAGGAGTAAGATGCGCTCCAGTCCTGCTCGTTTGACCTCAGCCTCCTTCAGGAGCACTTTGGTCTGGCACTGGTGTGTGTGAGCAATCTGCACGACCTTCCCACTGTTTGCCTTGCCCTGGTTCTTTGCTTTTCCATGTGGGCCTTGGACACTCATCATGAACATCATCTGGGCCAGATTAGAGATGCAGACTCTTACAGCCACCCTGGGCCTACTTATATGAGCTAGTAGTGGGCTTGTCCCAAACTTCTGATTTGGACACACACCATGTTAGTAAGTAAGCCTTGTGGTACTGTGACAGAATTCCGGCAGCAGCTCACTTAGGGGAGTGTTGGAAATTCCCAGTCCAGATGGTGTAGTGCAGGCTCAGGGAGGGAGGGACACACACGCCCCCGCCTGCTAGCGATGCCTGGTGAGCAGCAGCAGGAGTGCAGAGGGAGCAAGGGCTGCAGACATCTCATGCCAGGCGCAGACACCCACACCTCTCAGACTCTTCTTCAAGGTGCACCCCAGGGCCCCCGGGACCCCCACTACATCCCGCCTCCTGAAGAGGTCCACGGCAGCTCCAGGATGACTGCCCGAGGGACAGCACAGGACCTTGTAGGATGCTTATCATCTAAACCATGGCTCACACTAAAGTTTGAGGATCATTGTTTGAAGAATATACGATAAAGAGCTTTTGTTCACATAAAGATGCCATTTTGTTGTTTTGGTAGCTAGTGCCTGTTAATATTGCATGATCATGGGGTTTATTTGGGGGAGTTGTGGATCCACTTGACATAGCTTTTTTTTTTTTTTTTTTTTATATTTTCTTTTTTTTTTTTTTTTTTTGGCGGTACTGGGGATCAAACTTGGGACATTGTGCTTACCAGGCAAGTGCTTATGCTGCTGAGCGCTCTCCACAGCCTCTTGCTCACATAAAGATAAAAGCTTGTTTAAAGCTCTTTTTGAGGTAGTTTTAAAAGCCCAGTGTGAAAGCGCAACACCAATTTTTTGCACAGTAGTTTTCTTTACAGTTGATACCTCTTGGTTATGAAGGAGAGTGTTGCTGGAACCCTTCATACTCACACTCTGAGTACAGAGCTCCCTGTACCAGGAAAGGGCAGTTCTGATCTGTTTGCTGTCCGCGCAGTGAGGCCTGGCACACCCTGACTCATCACTCCCTGCTGTACAAGAAACAGGCTCAGGAAGTGGACTGGCGAGAATCGAGTATTGGACTTTTTTTTCCCTGACCTTCCTATGTGAGATTCACTACTAGAGTTGGATTGGAAAACAGCTTTGTGTTAGTACTATCCGGTGGAACTTTCCACAACGAAAATGTCCTTTGTGCTGCCCGGCAGGCTAACCATTATCCT